CCAAATTCTCAGAAAATCATTGGCAGATGTTTCAGTGGACCATGTAAGTTTTAAAAAGCATGTTGGAACTACCTTAGTTTATAGTGCCTCATAGTACTATAGTACCTTGTAGTACACTTTAATACCTACTTAATGGTCTGAGGTTATTTAAATAACAATGGAAAGCCAAGAAAAAACTTTTGAGCAAGTAAGAGAAATAACCAATTCTGTAATAGGAAATTGAGCTTGTCTGCAGTTCCACGTATATGGCTAATGTTCACTAGTTTATTTATAAAAAACAAAACAAAACACGCACATGCTTTGAGATGGTTACAACTAGAAACCTCACAGAAAAGCTAAAATAAAGATACCCATGAATGTGCTTCCTGCTCTCCTTTACTCAATTAGACCACTTGACCTGAGAAACTGAAAAGGCACCTAGAGACCAAGTCCTTCTAAATTTCTGGCCTTCATCCTAAAAACTGCCACAGAGGAATGGAAGGGTTTTAAGCCAGGGTATAGGCATTTCTGAAGATCACTTCATGGCACAGGAGTGGAGGAAAAGAGAGAAAAATCCATTCATTTGTTCATTTGTCACTTATTCAACAAATATTTATTCAGCACCTACCAGGTAGGTGGTTCTAGGGGTTGTACATACCAAAAGTGAACAGAAACAGACAATAACCCCTCCTCTCATGGAGCTTAGCTTCTAAAGTAAGGAGACAGAAAATAAATAATATGTCTCATGGTGATATGAACTAAGATAAGGAGGGTAAGGGGTCAAAGTGACCCTGGAGGAACTATTTTATCAGTTGATCAGAGGCCTCCTCTGAGAAAGTGAGCAGAACTGATGAGGAAGCCATGCACACAGCTGATGGCAGAGCCTTCTAACAGAGGAAACGGCAAGCACAAGGAGCACAGTGTGCGTGGTATGTTGCAAACACACAGAGGCCGACGTGCGGAGTGAGTGAGGAGGGGCACGGTAAGAGTCCAGGTCGAGAGGTGGAGGGCATTCATCCCATATTGGGCGTTATAAGCCACAGTAAGGACTTCAGACTTTATCCTGAGTTTAATGAGCTCTCAGAGGATTTTCAGTGACATGATCTGACTTACAATTCACAAGCACTCTGAAAGCTGCATGGGAAACAATCTGTACTGGGCTAAGTATGGTGGCAGAGACATCTACTGAGACATTCCTGCAAGACTCTAGATTAGAGGTGTTGGTAGCTTGGAGCAGACTAGTGGGTTGTGGAAGATGTAGTGAGGAGTGGTCACATTACATTTAAAAGGTAGAAACAAGCAATTTTTGATAGATTAGATGTAGTATATGAAAGTCAGGAGTCAAGGACAACTCTAATTAGGAGTACAAGGGGAAAAAAAAAATCAAAATTAGATGCCATAGCACCAAGCCTTCCTATAAGAAGTGCCCAAAGGGCCGTAGAAAAGACATAAACTTGGTTCCTATTCAGCTACTCACATGGAGACCGAAAAATCAGGTCAGTTATAAAAACCCTGTGCTTACTCTTATGCAAGCCAGTGGCCTAGGGACACAATCTGGGAAATTACACTTGATTTTTCCAAGTATAGAAATTGTACTTGCTCTCTTCACCTCTCTTAGCATGGGAACTATGATTTTATATATGTGTATATATGTATTAGTACCTCATAGTTTCAGTGCTAAAACCGACATATAAAGTATAATGACTGATGAATGTGTGTCAGGTAGGTATGGGAGGCATCCCCCATTTGTCTTTCCAGATGTACTTAACTCAACCTTCCTCCACACTATTGTATGGGCTTTGGCCTCCAGTTGGGTTCTGTCATTCTGTCAACAGGCAGCATAAGCAGGAGACTGAAGAGAGAGAGGAGAGTGAGGCCAGGGTATTTATTTCCCAGGCTACCTCCCTGAGGGCTCACCTGGGGCTTGTTGGGTCCTTTAACTGAAGGGCACAGCTCCATCACAGGGTCTCCCCACAGGTTCCCTCCTTTCCAGTTCTGGTAACTGCTCCCCTTCCATGGCTCTTCAAGCCTAGAAGTGGTGACAGCACCTTACTCTAAACAGCCCCGTAGTACAGCATTATCTCTACAGCCTGAATTTACAAAAATTTATTAAACTCAACTCAAATTACCCACTTTTAGAGCGCCATCTGTTCCCTGCCAGGACCCTAGAGAAAGACTAAGGAGGGTGGCATTTAAGTAATGAGAAAAATTTCAAACCACGAGATCATTAGAAGAAACAGTATGAGCAAATGAAAGAAAAGTACAGACATTTAGGGAAAGATGAATGGTCTGATGAGACTAAATGCACAAGTCAATTTAATCTAAACCCAATCGGAATCAAGATTTCTAAATTATTGACTTTGTTGTAGTCATTTATGTAAATGTATCCATTAGTCATTTACTTACAATTGGAATCCCTATATTAAAACCCATCTTGTTCTAGATATGGTAAGTATCCTTGCAAAGTGGCACAACTATTTTCTGTAGGAAATGACTAAAATGTTTATGGAAACAGGGTAGGCAGTATTTATAAATTACAGGGAGAAACTACAAGTTCCCTGGAATCACATACAAAATTTTACATGAATGCATTTTTCTGAAAAAGTGGCAAAGCTTTTAATCAGTTTTCAAATAGATTTGTGCCTCTCTAAAAACTAATGCTTGCAGATTCCCAAGAAAGTTCCCCTGAATTATAAATTTGCCAACCATAAGCCTTCCCTAAAAATGTTTCATATAATACAAGAAAGTCCCTGATTACAGAAAAGTATCGAAATCACTAGCTACTGTAAATGTGCTGCCTACCAAGTACAAAAAGCAAAAACAAAAAAAATCACACACTCCATTTTGTTTACAGAATCTGTTGATCCCTTCATACACTCAGTATCCAATGGCACATTTGTAAGGAGGCTGGCTAGAATTGTCAGGTAGTTTAAAGCTGCAGAACTGTTTCCTCTGAGTGAAATAAGAACTTTAGAAGAGGCTTCCTCTTGCAACACCGGTCTTCTTATTATTAAATTATAAAATTAAAACTCTACATGAATCCCAGTTTATTTTGTGATCTTGGAACAAGGACAAATAGAAATCACCATTCCACTTAAGAGTCTACCAAAAGAATGAACACATACATAATAGTTTGGGGATTTACACATTTTGTTGTAAAAGGCAAATGAAGCACAAAATAATAATAAGGCATATTTAAGAGTATATTATCTTAGAAACTTACAAAGAGGAGGACATTAACATATACTCTAACTCTCTTAAATGGTCCTGCCACCTTCATACAATCTAAAATTTTCGTATCTTAAATTGTTCTAGAATGATACTGTTATCACGAATATAGATATTACTGAGATATATCTCACTTCATTAAAAAAAAGAAGTGTTCACTTAGAATATATATACACATGGTAAACAAAACAAGCATGCTGACACTGTTCTGCTAATGTCTACAGCCAAGTATCTCTTGACATTGAAGTTGACTCTGCTTAAGAAAAGAGGCTTTGGTGTCAGGCAGGCCTGGGTTGAAACTGGAGGTGTATTATCAGAGCACAGCATAAGCTGTTGTACTAAATGAGTTAATTCACGTAAAATGCTGAGAAGGGCGCATGGTACATAGTTCACACAACTAACCCCTGCAGGGTTCTTAAGATGACTGAGATAAATTGTTCACAGGGGAGTAGAGGTAGATGAGGGAGGGTAAAACATCATGGTACATCAGACACAGATTGCCTAAGTGAGTTTCTAAAGGCATGGGTCCTCTACGCCTGCCTGAACTCATGTCCCTTTCTCTGTAGACAGGATCTAGAACATTCAAATATTCTCAAAAGGATATGTTTTATAAAGAAGGTTAAGAACACTCTTCCTAGATTATTTCCAACACTGGGCTTTTACTATTCCATTATTTTCTAAGGCAGAGTGTCTCAAAGCGTAGTCTGTCAAACACCAACATAAAACATCAAAACTCATCTAAGGTTATGTAGAGTGCAGACTGCTGAGCTCCACTCCAGACAGATTCTCTGGGAGCTGGAGCAGAAGTTCAATACTTAATAAACTGGGAGGGAGGGGAATTCTATACACAGTTAAAGAACCACTGTTCCAAGTATTTTATGAAACATTAATCTGAAGAAACCAAAACTGTTCCCATCATCAAATCTTTAGAAATCTCAGTGCATTCATCTTACCGTACGTAACTTATTTTTTCCTGAGCCTTGGGTAGCCCAGAATATGTAGGCAATGTCTACTGCAACCTAATTTTTTAAATTAAAATTCATTCTGTGCAGTGTCAGGACGATGACTGGTAGGTAACCCGTCTCATTTAAAAAAATGACCCCGCCCCACCCACGTGTAAAGAAAAATAATGCCCCACATGCCATATCACCTACTGTTCAATACCGGAAGAACTGTGACTTGTGTCAATGACTAAATACCGATTTCCTACAGTAAGCTTCCTGACTCCCCCTCCTAACTCTGCACTCTTTCGTGCTCATGTTCTGCCAGACCTCATTCTGTGAGGCGTGAGGCTTTTACAATCAGGCCTTTTATTAGTTGTGTGGGGACCCGAGCGGCCCGGGAGAAAAGGCCCCCCCTAGAGAAAGGCCAAAGGACTAGGAACAGCCAGGAGCGCTTCTGTATCCCAGCAGCCGTGGGCAGCTTCTCCCCGGCGGGATGCCGGACGGCCCCACGGGAACCTGAGACGTGACTGGAAAGGGGCCTGAGAGGAAGGCGTGTGGGTCCTGCCTTCGCGCCTCTCAAAAAAATCCAAATTCCAAGGCAAGGTCAAGAGAAGCCGTACCAACCAGGGGGCCGGAGACGGAGTCAAGGTCTCCCAGCTCCCACGAAAGCCCTGAAGGGCACGCGCTTTCCAGGCGGTCAAGTCAGCTGACCCCTCCCCGAGCAAAGGCCCAGGGAACAGGGAGCCCCGAGTGCCTCCGCACCCAAATGCAGGCCCTCAGTCAGAAAGCCCCTGACCCTGGCCCAGTGTGCAGTTACACCGAGAAGCTGAAGGAGCCCCGGTCACTCACCCTGCAGCCACTGCGTGCTGTGAAGCCATCTCCAACTGGCTCCGCCGCCCGCGGACCACCCAGCAGCCCCCTTAACAAGCCCCAGGCCTCGCCGGCCGCCGAAGCCTAGGAGACAGCGCAGCATCCGCACATCACTGCCTAGCCTCCAGGAGGCCGCCATCTTCCAGGCCTTTTCACGGGCTGCCCGCAGCACAGCCTGATCGCTCTGTCATCAAGCCCTCCCTAGGCCCCGCCTCTCACCCGGTTAGCCACGCCCCCTAAGCGCCAGTCGGGCCTTTGGGGCTCATTAAAGCCTCCTAGCCCCGCCTCCAACCTCCTTGGCCCCGCCTCCCAGCCTGGCGGCTCTGCTCTCCAGGCAGCGAGGCCCTCCCAGGCCCGCCCTTCTCCTGGAACGCCCCGCCCCTGAGCTGTCCTTAGCTCCGCCTGATTGTATTTAAGGTCTCTGCAGGCGGACCCCCGGGAGCAAAGCGTGCGAATATTGAGGGCCGCTGCCCCCCGGTCCGGGCCATGTCTGGCTGTCCCACTGCACAGGGAGACTGTGGCTTGCGGCGAT